TTAGGAGGAGACGGTAGAGGGACACGCTGTGGAGCAGTGGAGGGACGCAATGACATCCGGTGTGTGCTAGGGACTGGTGGTGGACGCTCACGTGGAGTACGGCGACCGGTGGAAGTAGTACGAACAGGTGACTCAGGACGGGACACAGGCGACACAGGACGAGACGCAGGCTGACGACTCTCTGCGAGACCACCTGTAGGACCAGTGTAGGGAGAAGGACGAGGAAGTGGCGAGGCAGGCGGTAGCTGTGACTGCGACTGGACCAGCGGTGGACACTCTACAGAGGGAGGGGGACCAGGAGGAGGCGACTGACCAAGAACCTCCTGAAGGAGTGGAACGAAGTACGGCCGCGGGTGTGAGGTGCCCCCTGCAGCAGTAGAGACAGCACCAGAACCTTCAGCAGCTCCAGCAGCACCCCCAGCACCTCCAGTACCTCCAGCACAAGCACCTCTAGGACCAGCTGCTCCAGCAGCTCCAACGCCCGGGTCCGCAGCACCAGTAGCAGCCCCAACTCCAGGGTCCACAGCACCAGCAGCAACTCCAACGCCAGGGTCCGCAGCACCAGCAGCAGTACCAACTCCAGGGTCCGCAGCACCAGCAGCAGCTCCAACGCCCGGGTCTGCAGCACCAGCAGCAGCTCCAACTCCTGGGTCCGCAGCACCAGTAGCAGCCCCAACGCCCGGGTCCGCGACACTAGGAGCACCACTCCTAAGACTGCATCGCCGTGCGTACCACTCACGGAGGCGCTGGGGAGAGGGTAGCTCTCGCCTAGGAGAGGAAGCACGAGCACCAGCTCCTGTAGCACTCTTAGCTCCAGAAGCACCTCTCCTGAGGCTGCAGTACTGGAAGTACCACTCACGCAGCTGCTGTGAGGAGAGAGCTCCTCAAGGTGTAGCACTCCCAGGCTCAGTACCCCCAGACTCAGCACCCTCAGACTCAGCACCAGCAGGCTCCGTACTCCCAGGCTCAGCACCCCCAGGCTCAGTACCTCCAGACTCCGCACCCCCAGGCTCAGTACCCCCAGACTCCGCACCCCCAGGCTCAGCACCCCCAGACTCCGCAACCCCAGGCTCCGCACGCTAAGGCTCAGCACCCCGAGTAGGACGAGAGTCGACAGCTACCTTGATAGGCTCAACCGGGTCTACCTGGGACACACTTGAGGGAGCGGCACCCTGAGAGGGGAGGGGGTCTACCACAGCAGCACCTGGCGCAAGGAAGAGAGGCGGGGGAGGGAGCGGGGCAGTGCGGTAGTGGAAGAGGCGGTTGAAGGGTACCGACTCGTCAAAGGTGACGTCCTGAGAGGTGAGGACACGGCGCAAGGTGGGGTGGTAAAACTGCCAACCAGACGCATCCGGAACAAAGCCTAGGAAGACACACGGAATAGCACGGGAGGAGAGCTTGTCCGCGGACGTATCGCGAACAAAAGCTCGGTATCCCCAGACCCGAAAACGCGACGCATCGCCAACCTCTCCCGTCCAATGCAGTGTCGGGGAGGTCTCCGGCAAGGAGACACGGGGCCAGAGGTTGAGCTGATGCGCAGCGTATCGGACCGCAAACGGCCACAGAAAGTGGGGGGCAGCCGCATGGATCAAGGAGGTACGAGCGACCTCCATGATGAGGCCAATGCGGCGCTCAGCAACCCCATTCTGCTGTGGAGAGGCAAGAAGCGTGAACGACTGGCGGATGCCGTGCTCCGCACAGTAGGCTGCCAAGAGGTCGGAGGAGAACTCACCACCTCTGTCAGAGTGCAACCGCAGGACAGGAAAGTCAGAGTGGAAACGCTCGCTGAGCTGAAGACGAGAAGCGCTGATCCAAGGGATCAAAACATCAGGGACCTCACCCTTGGTGCGCAAGGGGAAGACCGTGGTGTAGCGCGAGTAGTCGTCAACAACTATCAGGAAGTACCTCTCTTGACCTTGACCACGGACGCGGGCGGGGCCCCACACGTCCATGTGGAGCGTCTGCAAGGGAGCAGTCGTCGGGGGGAACGAGGAGGAGTGAGGAGCAGCGCGCTGCCGCCCCTCGACACTGGGAAGGCAGGGAGGAGCAGGCGAGGGTGGGAGGGGAGGGAGAACTCTGGGAAGACCAGAGACAAGGTACCGGGAGTGCATGGCACGAAGGCGCTGCATGGAAGGGTGACCAAGTCGGTGGTGTTAGAGGACGGTCTCGTGCGCTAGAGAGCGGCACGAGCAGGGGGCCGACAGCTGATCTGACAAAGACGCAGCTTCCTGAGGGGACTCAGTGGTCAGTGTGTACAGGTCCGACCCCGGCTGCCGTGTGAAGGTCGCGAGGTGACGGCCCGTCCGAGCACACGTGCAGTGTGTCACGTGCTCGTAGGCAGGGGTGAACTGGTGGACACCCCTGTCCTGGAGCGCACTACCCGCCACCAAGTTCGTAGAGAACGAGGGGAGGTAGAGACCGGACAGTGTGCCCGACGGGACGGCCGGACAGGGGAGGACAGTGGAGGAGGTCGCAAGGACTGGACCCCCAGAGGGGTCAGCGAGAGAGACTGCAACGGGCCGAGCAAGCTGCTCAAGAGCCGTGCGGTCACGAAAGAAACAGCGGGAGGCACCTGAGTCTAGTGTAAAGGTGTGCAGTGCCTCAGTCGACTCAGTACCAGGGGGCGCAGACGCACTAGCACCTAGAGCAGCAGCCTCACCAGCACCTGGGGTAGCAGACACTCTAGCACCTAGAGCGGTAGCCTCACCGGTTCGAATGCCCGGGTCGGGCGGAACACGCAGGTACTGAGCACCCTCTGTACTAATAGACATCATCCCATTTTCCGAAGGAGAAGTGGGTGATTCCAACTGCAACCTGATTCCAGGCATTTCTGCACAGAATTCTGCAGTCTGCTGAAGAACAAGGCTTGAAAACCATAGCAAACCTTGCCCAAAAGTGATAGAATGAATGATTTTGTCCAAAATAACAAACACATGCTAGCTTGAAGAGGACATCAAGGAGGTCCAGGAAATCTAGGTTTTTTTTTTTAAATGAACCACAAATATCAGAGTTATGAGTCAAACCATGGGGAGTTTGTAAGCCATTTTTACATTCTGTTTGTCAGAATTACAACCATGTGTATACTACATCTTTTATACACACACATTGCTAAACAGTTGTTGCGACGTCAATTTAGACCAACCGTCGATGATCGCCCACCGGCGGGGTTACTCCGCCTGCGACATTTCGTTGCGTCTTCAGGTGGTTTGGATTTTGGAGGGGGAGGTTTGAGGTAAGGCGGAAACGGAAGGTTCAGAAGCGACTCGAGTCAGCTTCGGTTTCGTCAAATCAGGCGTGCCGATGATGTTCGGGGCTTCGTAAGATACCTACGGGACCCCTGTAATGTCGCCTCCGCTAACCAAACCCGAACGTACAGACCGCCGAAGTCTGCGCCAGCCTACCTAGCCGAACCTGGTGTGCCAGCGACTGTTGTATTGGGGTGCATTTTTGCCAAGATTTCTGCAAACTCGGAACCTCACAGAATTCAGAGCTTCGCACAATGCCATAGCGACAAGAACGAGGTTGGTAACCATATAAAGTTTGCTCCCAGCAGGCAAAACCAAATTTTAACTTATCCGCATAAGTAGTCTTTCTTTCCCCGCAATCGCCTTGAGGAGCTGCTGAGCGACAGCTATGTAAAATCCATCGACCCTCGCTCGTGGTTTTCACGCTAGAGACTTCAGAAGTAGGATCTGCTCTGCGTTGTCGGGCTATTTTTGAGGCGCCTAAGAATCAGACGCTATGCTTCACTGTCGTTTCTACCATGTTTAGTCGACGTGATGGGTGCTTGAGCAATCGGCTCGGCGCGCTTATGCTCTTCCTGCCGACGTGTTTCGCCGCAGTCCGCAGCGTGACTATTCGCCCCTCCTAAGATCCGTGTAGTGCTTTCATCTCGCCATTCCTTTCCGCCATTTCGCCAGGTCACACCGTAATTCCACCGCGTCGCGCTGCGATGTCGTCATGCCACGCCGCCAATTCACATGTCACGCTGCCATTTCGTCATGTCACATCGTCATTTCGCCGCGTCCCGCTACCCTGTCGCCATGTTATGCCTCCATTTCGCATGTCACGCCGCCACTTTGCCATTTCAGTTCGCCTTCAGTTCGCCTCGTCGCTTCCCCACGTCGCACCGCCATTTCGCCGCGTCACGCCGCCATTCGTTGTCTAGAGATTGGCGAATGGCAGTTTTCCCCCACCCCTCAAAGCAATGCTGGCCGTTGGAAAGTCGCGCCGAGCGTAAACCATCCCTTCCCTTCAGCTCTTCCCGTTCCACCCGCCGCCGTCCCACTAGCTTGCATCTGGAGTCCGCTGTGTGTTGACGTTGTGGCCATGTCATGGTCTGGTGGTCCGGCGGCGCTATGGTCTTTTCTCCTGCGCTCGGATCTGGTCTGGTCTGGTCCGGTTCGCTCTAGTCGTGTTCGCTCTGCTGTGATGTTTGCTTGCCAGCAGGTGAGAGGAGTGAGGCGGGAGGTGAGTGATTTGGCAGCAGCATGGAAGCTGTAACGAGGCGATCGCTGGGCAGGCAAAGGAAGAAACATACTGTGTTGCTGCTCTCTTGCGCAGGGGTCTCAGGACCCTTCAACTCTGTCTTTAGCCCCTTCCCTAAACCCTGTGCAGCAGGCGTGCCAGCATGCGTGGGGGAGGGCGTTCGAGGGGTGGCGAGTGGAAGCGATCTGTGCACCGTTTGGGCCGGCTCCGCATGCTCAGTCAGAAGATCGAGCGCTGCGACAACCGGCGCCTCTAAATTGATGTTGCCTGTTCCAGTGTCTCGCGAAACGCGCCTTGCTGAAAATGACGATGCCGCCACGCGCAGCTCAGAATTGAAATGGAAGCAAAGACCTGGGGGAGCGACTCTTTGAAATGGAGCTTGATGGGTTTTGAATGCCGCGCGTCGCAGCGCCACTGAGGCACCATGCACTTGCAATCGACCCGATGCACCGCGTTTCCCAAGTGGCACTTGGCAACAACGAGCTGGGGTACAGCCTAGAACGGGAACCTTGATGCGCCTCGATTTCTATCCAGTGCTCTTCGCAGCAACGAGCTGGGGTGGAGCCCGAAGCCTCGATGCGCTGCGTTTTCCCCACAGCCGCTCGCGCGCGAGATGGTTTAGAAGCGGGCGTGCGATGGTGATGCCTGACAACGGGGACGGGCTGAGGACTGCGATGGAGAGATCTGAGAGAAGCAAACGGTAGGGAGATGCAGATTTACTTCTAGTACCAGGTAGGTACTGTGATCGTTCACTGTCCCCTGCATCTGCACTGTATGGGGTACATATGATACATATAATCCACGCATACTGTAGGGATACACTGTCGCTCTCAGGCGGCGCCGCCTCTGGCTGTACATATTGATTTGCAGTACCAGGTAGGTACTGTGATGGTTCACTATGTGTACACATATCCCATTTACAGAATGGCAGATGATTGTTGTTGCTGCCTTTCCCTCCCCTCCACCTCCCTCCCATCCTTCCTCTCCTTTTCCGGTCTCCCACTCACCTAATGTGCATCGGAGCTGCCAGTGTGTTTCTGACCTTATGCCTGCCTGCCTCGATTGCTGTCCTCTTTGTATTATCTCTTCCCCTCCCCTCCATCCCTTTCACTCACACCCAGCTAATGTGCCTCGGTCGGTGCAGACATTATGCTCGTGTGCTCATGCCTTTGTCCCGTACTGCCCTGCTTTCGTACCCCTTCCGCTCCCCCGCGCATCTTTCCTTCCTTCCCTCCCCTCCCCTCCCTCTTGTACAAAGCAGCTCATGCCCCACTGGTGCTGACAGTGTCTTGGTGGGCATGTGGCATGACCTGCCAGAGACGCCGAGGCAGGAAGAGCAGCTGAGGCGAGCCAAGGTGGCAGCAGAGGCGGCAAGCGACGCCAAGAGCATCGTTTTGAGGAATATGAGGCACGAGATTTGCACCCCGATGCATGGTGAGCAGGGTGGGTGGGTGGATGGGTGGGGGTGATGCGTGCATGTGCATGGTGCATGCATGGTTTGCAGTGCATGCATGGTCTGCAGTGCATGCATGGTCTGCAGTGCATGGTCTGCAGTGCATGGTTTGTGCATGGCGGTTCTGGTGGCCATATGCCACGAGTGCATGGTTGACGGGAGGTACCTTTTATTTATTTGATATACCAAGCAACAACCCCCTCCCCCCATCGTTTGGTCCCCTTTCCCTCCTCGTTTCCTCCCCTTTCCCTCCCCTCTCCCTCCCCCCCCCCCCCACCCTTATATCCCTTTCCCTCCCCCTCCCCTTCTTCTCCCCTTCCCCTCCCCTTCCCCTCCCCTTCACCTCCCCTTTCCCTCCCCGTCCCTTCCCGCTCCCCTCCTCTTCCCCTCCCCTTCCAATCCCCATCACCTCCCCATTCCCTGCCCATTCCCTGCCCATTCCCTGCCCATTCCCTGCCCATTCCCTGCCCATTCTCTTCCCATTCTCTTCCCATTCTCTTCCCATTCCCTTCCCATCCCTTCCCATTCCCTGCCCATTCCCTGCCCATTCCCTGCCCATTCCCTGCCCATTCCCTGCCCTTCCCCCCCCCCATCCCTCTCATCAAATTCACCTGAATCAGCTCCTAACAGTCCAAGATGGAGAGGCGAGGCGAGGCAAGGTGAGAAGAGAAGCGGCAAGGGACGCCAAGGTCCCACATCCCCATGAATGGTGAACAAGGTGGCTGGATGGCTGGATGGCTGCCTGCTATGTGCGCATGGCCATGGTGAACGGGGTGGGTGGGTGGATGGGTGGGAACGATGCATGCATGTGCATATAGTGTGCATGCATGGTGTGGTGTGTGCATGGTGTGTGATTCGTGTGAATGGTTTGCACTGCAAGGTCTTACATGGCGATTGTGGTGGGCATAAGGCACCACTGCGTGGCTGACTGAAAGGTTCCTTCCTTTCATTTTATAATCCAGCCAATAACCCCGTTCTCCTCGTTCCCCTGACCCGTTCCCTCCCCTTCCCCTCTCCTTTCCATCTACTTCCTGTCTGTCGCTTTGGCCTCCCCTTCACCTCCCCTTCCTCTCCCCTTACCCTCCCATTTCTCTGTCTGTTACTCCCCATTTCCCCTCCCCTTTCCCTCCCCTTCTCCTCCCTCTCTCCTCCCATTTCTCTCCGCTTCCCCTCCTCTTCGGTTCTCCTTGCTTCCCCTTCTCCCCCATTTTCCATCCCCTTCCCCTCCCTTTCCCCTCCCGATCCCCTTCCCATACCTTCCCGTTTCCCTCCTATTCCCATCCCCGTACCCTCCCCCTCCCCTCCTCGTTCCCTCCCCTTTCCCTCCCCATCCTCTCTCATCACATGCACCTGTATTTTCTCAGAACAGTCCAAGATCGACAGCCAGCGCCCTTCTGCCCTGCCACGCGCATCAAGGACGTTTGGCTCTGCTCTCTCTCTCAAGCGGTCCATGTATTTGCAACCAGAAACGTACAGACATGCACAGGAGGATAAGGCACCTGGAACATGCATCAAAGAAGGACCTTCGGGTGAATGTGCATGGGGGTTGATGGTGGGTGTCAAGGGGTGGTGTTCAGTGGCAATGGTGGTGAGTGAGCTGTGCTAACCTTCATGTGAATCGCTCCCGTCAAAGGCGTTCATGTGAGGGAGTGTTGAAGGGCAGAGTCGCCCTTCCTTACCAGCTGTCCTCCCGCCCCTTCTCACCATTATTTCTTTGTGTCTCAAGTTTTCAACTCCCCTCCCTTCCAGCCCAGCTAAACAAACAGTCACATCAACTCGCACATGCCATGACTTATCTCCCTTGCGACCTTCAACACTCCTTATTTGCCTCCCACTCACTCGTTCTCACCTTTTTCCTCTCCCCCCCTGTTCCTTCTTTCCCCCCTCCTTCCCCCCCTTATTCCTACCAACTGGGTCGCTGTATCACCTCGCACGTGCATCAATCCATTCAGGCCGAGCCATCCGGGGCTGCTGGGTTGCTGGGCTGCTGGGATGCTGGGAGGCCAATTCAACTGGGATGCTTCGGCAAATTATTCCGCATCGTGTGTCCAACGTGATCGAGTTCACTCACACGGTGGTGACCCACCAGCTGCTGCGCTGCACCCCGCATGTACTCCTCCTGCTCCTCCACTACTCCTCAATCCTCCAAACCGGCCCTCCAGCACGCCAGGGCTTTCAGGTGCGTCTCACCTGCGCTCTTCCCGAAGTTTCGGCCGGATGGGGAGAGGTGGGAGGAGAAATGGGTGTGGGTGGGGTAGGAGGTGGCGGAGAGGGGCGAGGTGGTGGTGGCATGGACTTGCAGGAAGCGAACCGGGCAGCTCTGTACCAGCCCTCTGTACCAGCCCTCTGTACCAGCCCTCTGTACCAGCCCTCTGTACCTGCCCTCTGTACCAGCCCTCTGTACCTGCCCTCTGTACCAGCCCTCTGTACCAGCCCTCTGTACCTGCCCTCTGTACCAGCCCTCTGTACCAGCCCTCTGTACCTGCCCTCTGTACCAGCCCTCTGTACCAGCCCTCTGTACCAGCCCTCTGTACCAGCCCTCTGTACCAGCCCTCTGTACCAGCCCTCTGTACCAGCCCTCTGTACCAGCCCTCTGTACCAGCCCTCTGTACCAGCCCTCTGTACCAGCCCTCCGAAGCAGCCCTTGAGCACGCCATGGCTGTCAGGTGCGTTTTACATGCGCTCTTTCCCAAGCTTCAGCTGAACGGGGAGAGGTGTGGGGAGACGGGTGTGGGTAGGGCAGGAGGTGGGGGAGGGACGCGAGATGGTGGTGGCGTGGCTTGGTTTTTCAGCAAGCGAGGCGGGGAGCTATGCACGTGCACTGTGTGGGGTACATTTGATATGATACATGAACATGGGCCTGTTCGTGGGCTGGGCTGCGGCGAAATTGTATAACTGTCGGGCTGGCCCGGCTCAGCACTCCAGGCTGGACGTGGCCCGAGTTGCGGCCCGGGGTTTCTGGTGTGAGGCTGGGCCGGTCTGGGCCAGATTCCGGTCCGAATTGGGCAGGTCAGTGTGAGTGACTCAGTGATGCATGCGATGCGACCCAAGCTGCACACACTGCGTGTCACATTTTGTGGGCACAGTAAAAGGGGGAGTTGTGGACGCGAGCAGGGGGGTGTGTGGGTGGGTGGGTGCGAGCAAGGGGGGTGTAGATGCGAGCAAGGGGGGTGTGGGCCCGAGAAAGAGGGGTGGGTGTGTGGGCGCGGGAAGGGGAGGTTTGTGGGAGCGAGCAGGTTGGGTGTATGGACGCAAGCAAGGGGGTGTGGGCGCGAGCAGGAGGGTATGTGGGAGCGAGCAGGCGGGTGTGTGGGCGCAAGCAGGGGGGGCGTGGGCGCAAGTAGGGGGGATGTGGGTGCAAGCAGGGGGGGTGACGGCTCGAGCAGGGGGGGTTTGGGCGCGAGCAGGGGGGGTGTGGGAGCGAGCAGATATGGCCCAGCCATGAGCACGGGCCGAGCCGTGGGCTCATGCCCAGCAAGCCGACCCAGGCCCGGCACGTGCTCATGCCTGTTGGGCACGTCTCGGGTGACCCCGCCTATGCCTGTGCCAAGCAGATATGCCATATTCCTTGAAAAGAGTACCAATATACTGTTGCGGCCTTGTGTTATCCCTTCCCCTTTTCCCGTCCTCTCTGTTCCCCCTTCTCACACTCAGCTTATGTGCGCTGGCAGTTTGTTTCTGGCCCGCCTGCCTCCATTGTTGTGCTTACTTCGTTACCTCTTCCCCTTCCCCTTCCCCCTTCTTCCCTCTCGTCCTTCCTCCTCGTCCTTCTTTCCTATGAGGGTACAATCATGCAGATTTATCCCCTTTGTAATAACCTTAAGCCCCTTTTGAGACGTCTCAAAAGTCGTCTACTTTGTAATAACCTTAAGCCCCTTTTGTCAGCCGAGGAGAAAACCAGCAGAGGCGCTAAGAAGCAGTGGAGCCCGAGCATCGTCTTGGCAAATACGAGCCACAAGATTCGCATGGTGAGGTGAGTGGTTGGGTGGGTGGGTGAGTGGTATGTGTGCATGTGCATGGTGTGTGCATGTGCATGGTGTGCGCATGTGCATGGTGTGTGCATGTGCATGGTGTGTGCATGTGCATGGCGTGTGCATGTGCATGGTGTGTGCATGTGCATGGTGTGTGCGTGGGTTCCAGTGCATGGTATGGTGTGTGCATGGCGTGTGTGGGCATATGGTACCAGTGCATGGTTGAGTGGGGGTGCATGCCATTCCTTTTGTACACCAGCCAACTACCCCTTCCCCTCATCTTTACCTCCCCTTTCCCCCCCTTTCTCTCTTCTTCCCCTCTGCTTCCTCTCCCTTTCCAAATACCATAGTTATGCGCTATCCCTTATGTAAAGCTCTTCTGTTATTTCCTAATTAGGTAAAGTTCCCCTTCTTGTCCGCTTCCCTTTTCCTTTCCCTTTGCCCCCGTCCCATCACCTCAACCTCGCCCTCTCCCCTACTCCCCGCCCCTAACCCTCTCCTCCCCCTCTCCCCCCCCCCTCCCCCCCAACACTCCCCTTTCCCTCCCCTTCCCCTCTCCTCCTCCTCCGTTTTCCCTCCCCCCTCCCCGTTTCCCCTTGTCCTTCCCTTCCCCCCCCTTTTCTGCGCATCACATGCACCTGAATCAGGACAGACCTTGCCATCATCGACAGCCAGTCGCTGCCTCTGGAGGGCGTGAATACTATCTTCCCCCTTCCCTCTGGAGGGCGTGAATACTCTCTTCCCCCTTCCCTCTGGAGGGCGTGAATACTCTCTTCCCCCTTCCCTCTGGAGGGCGTGAATACTCTCTTCCCCCTTCCCTCTGGAGGGCGTGAATACTCTCTTCCCCCTTCCCTCCTGCACGAACCCCACCAGCAGCAGCAGCAACAGCAGAGCCATCAACAGCGGCAACGGCGGCATCTCCCGCCTCATGCGCCTCCTTTACAAACCAAGACGCTTCCCCCTGTCTGCTGCCATCAGCCAATCGTTTCTGAACCCACAGCCGCCAGCACGAGCACCACCAGCAGCGGCATCAGCCGCAGTGCTGTCAGCAGCGGCAATGGCAGCATCAGTGGCGCATCTCCCACCTCCTGCTCCTTTCTGGGCCCAAATGGCCTGGCGGGAGTGGTGCTGCGTGCGCCTGCAGAACCTGTTGCAGCATGCAGCGCTGAGGGGCAGTGCAGGCAGATTGTGTCCAGGCTGATTGTGATCATGGGGCTTGGTGCAGAGCAGAAATTCCGGAAGAGTTCAGCCGTTCCAAAACATATGCGGTGCATGTACCCTACTATACCGTACTACACCTGACACGTTTTAGGCATGACCCGGCCCAGTGATTATTCACTTGGATGCTTGTTGTTTCTAAGTGAGGAGGCCAATGATATGGGTAGTAGTACAAGATTGAGGCTGAGACGAGGATGTGATGACAGTTGTGATGAGAATTGCGGCAGTACCGCGAAGGCAGTAACATAGATGGCAGTGGTGGTAAACGCCACCAGCGGCAGTCAGCCACTGAAGTAATCACCCTCAGCACCATTCCTCCAGGCGTTCAAAACCCTCCCTAACTCCTACGATTCTATTCATTCTCTGCCTTCTATGCGCACTGCCCACCTCAGAGTCATCTCATCACATCACAGCTAACGAAACAGCCTAACAAAGAGATGCTACATGCCATAGTACCTTAATGATGCTTACCTAAGTGGATATTTTCAGCCCATACACCTCATTGATGCTTCTGGGGAGCACAGACCCATCACTGTCCTTCACATGCCCGCACTCCTCCACATCCAACATCCGCAGTGCCTTCACCTCACACAAACCCCCCTGACAATGCCTCCAGCTGTGCATAGCCTGAGAAACAGAGGGATCTGAGCCGCGTGAACTGGGAAAAGGTGGGACACAGGGAGCGGATGGGGCAGCTTGAGATTGACAGCTGGGTCAGGCGGGCAAGCTGGGTGAGAGAGGCAGGCAGATGCTCAAGCTGCTCACAGCGAATGAGGTGCAGCTCGCGCAACCGGGATAAGGCACCGATGTCATCCGGAAGAAAAGCCAGTTTGGCCGCAGCATAAACCCCCAAGAACGTCAGGTTCTGCAGCACAGTCACACTCGCTGGCAGCTCCCTCAACTCACCCGCACTTATCAGGCTCAGCTCCCGCAGCTGCGGCACTGCTGACCCGATATCGGCCGGCAACCGGACAAGCCTTGCGCTCTTAACAATCAGGGTGCGCAGGCGGGAGAGAAACGTCAAGGCGAATGGAAGCTCCTCCGCATCGCCGGCCAAACTCAGGTGCAAATGCTCCAGGTGCGATAGGCTCCTGCTCACAGTGACCCCACATGCCACCGCAACAACGTCCAGGCGAAGCGATCGAAGCCCCGTCAGCGCGGACATGTCTGGCAGAGCCATGGCCTACCTGCGACCTCCCCAACTCAGCCATTCAATGGAAGGCGGCAAGACTAGAGGAGGCCTTGTGAGCTTGTCACATTGGGCCACCTCCAGCCACTTGAGCCGTGTCAAGCCGTCCAGCCTCGCGGGCGCCGAGGCCAGATTATGGCAGTAAGCGAGTGAGAGAGCTTCAAGGGCAGTCAGGCACGTCACAGATGCTGGAAGGGCCGTGAGCGGAGGGCAGTATGAGACGTGCAGCTGGCGCAGGTTGCAGAGCGCTCCCACCACGCCCTCTGGCAGCTCCTCCACGCCGCACTCGTCCAGCTCAAGCCTTGTTAGCGACGTGATCTCGGATAACGAGGGCGGCAGATGCCAATGCTCGAGGCTATCTCTCACAAGCAGGGTGTGAAGGTTACTCAGGCGGCCTATGTCCGCTGGAAGCGCCACTCGCCCGAGGCAGAGAGTCGTGAGAGCTGTGAGGCAGCAAAAACCTGCTGGCAGCTCGCGGATTGAGTCGCACGAGAGCAGGAAGAAGGTCTCCAGGGAGCTGAGCTGGCAAACGGAGGCAGGCAGGCTCGCCAGCGGCAGATGATCCAGAACCAAAGTTTTCAGGGCAGTCAATCTCCCGATGTTTTCAGGCAGGCTGCGAAATTCGAAGTCGCATTCGATGACTGACAAGGTCTCGAGGTGCTCCAGGGAACAGAAACCCTCGGGCAGCTCCTCAAAGGCCTCGCACCTGGAAACGGTCAGCTCACGCAGACGCGGCAGCAACTCCGCAATGCTGTCCGGAAACCGCTTCAATTCGTCGCAATATGATATCTGCAGCCGTTCAAGACTTGTCACTGGCCAATCCGACAGCAACACGTGGCGAGTGTCCAACGATTTGATCAGCGGCAGCTGTGCGATGGCTAAGGCAGCCGAGCCATGAGGAGAAAACGAGGTCCCGGCAGAGAGTGAAAGGCTGGTGATGTTGGGAAGACGACGCACGTTGGCCAGCTGCTCCTCGTTCAACTCCGGGGAGGCGATATGGAGAGTGGTGAGAGAAGCGAGGCTGTCCAGATCTGGAGCTTCTAAGGCGGAGGCGGCTGTTAAAGCCAGGGTGTGTAGACGCGTGAGGTGGAAGAAGGAAGCGGGTAGGTGGACGTCCCGATGGAGGCAGCGCAGTGAAAGCTGCTCCAGCTGAGTGCATCGCTGGAAGAAGCGATCCAGGCCAGCTTCGGTGATGGGGCGCTTATGCTTCGGTCCAACATAGTCCGGATGGTGAGCGATTTCGCGTCCCACGTGAAGAATCTTGAGCTTAGGACACGCTGACGCGAGGTGATTGAGGAAGGTGTCGTCTAGGGTTTCCACGCTGTAATCGCACAGATGGAGATGGTTGAGATTAGGGAAGCACGCGACGGCATCTGAGAGTTTTTGGAGGGCAATGGCATGCTTTCGTTCGACGAGCAGCGTGGAGACGTCACGGTGAGCTACATCGCGCCAGCGACGGCACACAGACGACACAAGGAAGATCTTGGCAGCGCTTGGACCGGCGGAGGGGGACGATACTGGATACGACTCTTCGTCGGGGCTGAAATCTTCATCTAAAACGACCGAGTGAAGGTACAATGGCTTCTCCGACAATGAATGCCGAGACCATAACGCGTCACTGTCGAATTTAGGAGGTGTTGACTCTTCGCAATGCCATAGAATCCTAGCGAGGACGTCGTCGGGAAGGTCGTTAATATGTGTCGCTGTCTCCATAATTTCCCTAGCAGACGAGATTACTAAGGATCTATAGAAGGACGGAAAGCAGCGACCTTGAAGCCTAGACTGAGTTTGAACGAGGCCTGAAAAACTATTGTGACGTTAACGTTACTCGTGGCGTGAGAGGTCATGATCGCGCTGCCTTCCCTTGTACGCAACACAAGCAGCACCAAAATGGTTTTGCTGCGAGAGGCAGGGCGATCACGTAAGGGCGGATACTCTGTCAGGTGTAGGAGAGGGACCCGGTCTCGAACCTAAGTGTTTTTGCTGCGATAGGGTCTCTGTTTCTTGATTTCGCTGCCATTCGTTTTGCTTCAATTCATTGTGCTTCGAAACCTTGCGTGGTGCAAGGAAATATCGCATGGTTTCGTTCAACACCGAACCAAGTAACAATTAGGGCGAACCTATAATGTCAAACGTGCTACACGCCCTAACAGCACCGATGAGTTCAGTGAGGGAGCTGACAGTTGAAGCAAGGTAGGGAGAAAACAGTCGGTGAAGTGACGTGACGACGGGTTGCAGCAAGTTGAACTCATTATTGGCCACCCTAAGCAGCAGCTGTCATCAGCACAGTAAGCTTCCGCACGCAATATAGTACCGCGGCGATCTGTCTCTCCCGAGACCTGCCTCGCGCTCCTCCACTCACTCTCACTCACCACATTAACGCGACCCGGGTTCTCCGTTTTCCTGGACTGCCAATTTCGTGTCGCATACGGGACTGCAGGCCCATATGCGTGCTCAATGCTAAAAGCTCAGTGCTTCGCACGCTCGATGCTCAAGCCTGTTCCTCGTGATGGTCGATGGTAGGAGTGCGGTAGCATGACCCACCTCTCCTTCCCAAGCCGCTTACTATGGCGAGCGGCGGCAAGCTGTCCACGTCAGACGCAGCGCACCAGCTGCTGCTGGAGAATGGAGTCAAGCCCGATGAGCGACGTCGGCGTTGACTCCCTTTTACTGCGAGCAAGCCGCGCTTATCTAGCAGTAGTGGCATTCCCTTTGATGTGCTCTTAACTGACGGCTCACATTCGAAACGGTGCAAGGCGTGTCCCGTGATTACTGCTGCGCCGTTTGCGATCGCCTGCGACGTGACACTCTCTGCTGTCATGCGACGCTTCGCATTTGCAAAAGCAGCTTACAATGTGTCATGCGATGCGAGTGTGGCACCTCCCCTGTCCGCATCAATGGGCAGCACGGCGCAGGGCCGTGGCGCTCGCGGGCTTGGCGGCATAGAGGGAGCAGCAGCCGCTCAGGAGCGAGTGGAGGATCGCAGGCGGGGAGCGAGTGGGACGAACGAAACAGGGAAATTCTCGGTAGCTTCGCAAAAGCGCCGACGGGGGGGGGGGGGGGACGTGGCCTCCAAGTCGAGGCGAGCGATAACACGCCAGCTGTGCCTTGAAATGACGATCGTGGGTCAACCGAATGTGACTGCGTCAACATCTCTTCTGCATCCTCCAATGTACATACGGCACGCCACTGCGTGCCATTGGTATCCAAGGACTCGGCAGCAGTAGCAGCAGCAGCCGGCGAAGCGGCACTGGGTGCTGACGTGGGGTGCAGTGCAGCAGGGTCAAGAGTGGTGCAGTGACCAGAGCTGACGAGCGGCCGTCAAAGCGAAGGTGGGGGTTAGACAGAATGGAAGAATGGAGCAGACAGGAGTGAGACGACGAGGGATGGCGCAGGGGCACAAGCAGGCGGGAGTGGGGCATCGTGAGGCGTGGGCGTGTGAGCATGCTGCACCGGATCTGGCTGGCACACGTGGGTGACGGGGGGACACCTGCTTGGTGGAGGCGAGCTGCGGAAGGAAAGGACGAGAAGAGAAGGGGCAGGCAGGTCTCTGCAGCAACGTGCTGTATTGCCGCGTGAGGGAGCACAGCAAGGCATGGGAAAGATGGATGCTGCCCTCACATAACGTGGCGATCAAGAACGGAAGGAGCGGAATGCTGAGAGCGAGGGGACAGAGGATGGAGCTTTTCAAGAGTGGTAGACCATGTAGGAAGGGGCCTCGAGTCTGGAGTGTCGGCTGTTCGGCGAAGCCTTTGCCATGGCAATGGCCATGGTGAGTCCACCTTTTTTTTAGGGGGGGGGGGGGGGGGGGTGGGAGGAGGGGGAGGTGAAATTGCTCTATACAATGCCACCCGTGTCGGGACTCGTCCCGTTGAATACACGCGGTCGAATTGGAATGGCTGGGCCTGCGATGTGCGAGTGGGGGCATCATCCGCGGGTGTCAAGACGGCCAATGATCGCACCGCACCTCCACCGCCAGCGGCTCTGCTGATGGAAACGTAGTGATTGCCCCCTCAGCTGTGTGTGTGCCTGTGTCTCCTACTCGCCCACTTGTCCTCCACCTGCCCCAAACCCGAATGGATTCCGAGTCGCACTTGGAATATTTATTCCCCCGTCCCAGCTGAGCCCGTCCCAGCTGAGCCCGTCCCAGCTGAGCCCGTCGTTTCCCCAAAGTCCTTACTGGCTGCTCCTGCCCGCCAGAACCCTCATGCTAACTGTCGCACCGTGCTGTTGCTCCGTTTCTTTCCTCATTCCTCGCTCCCTCCCTCTCCCAATTCCCCCCCCCCCAGCTCCGTGCCTGTTACCCCGAGCTGTCTTCTGCCTGCCCCACTGCACTCAATGCACTGAATGCACTCAATGCACTGAATGCACTCACTGCACCCACTCTCGCCACTTCTCTCAGCTTCCAGCATTGTTTCCCACCTTTGGTCCACATTTCGTTTCTTACTGTCTTGAGAACTCTCAAAAGCGATACAAGCATCGCACTGCTCCCTTCCGCTCCTTTTCCTCCCCTCCCCCGCTATCCAGCACCGCGCCTACGTCTCCAACACTTACTTCTGCCCCACTGCTCGGACCCGCGCCCCCACGGCACTTTCTCCCGTAATCCTCTCATACACTACTGTGCTGTTCACTCCTCTCCCTCTCTCCTCTCCCATTCCCACTCCCACCAGCTCCACACCTGCTTCTCCTGCACCGACTCCTGGATTCTGCCCCACACGGACTCCAACCCTTGCAGCGTGGGCGCACTGTTCATTCACAGGCACCCTACGGGCTGCTGATGTGGCGGAGGCGCACGAGTGTTGCGGGCTACTGGGGGTCTCGTGGCGGTGTTGTTCTGCAAGGATGAGCTGAGGTAGGAGGAGAGGAGGTGCGGGGGGCGAGGAAGGAGGTGGGCTGTCATGGGTCACTACTGCTGCTCACTGCTACTCGTCACTGGTGAGTGAAGGAGGTGTGTGTGGGTAGTGCGAGGAAGGTGGGTCACCTATGGGTCAGTCTCAGCTCAGGTTAGTAGTAGGTCAGCCTCAGGTCACTCTCAGGTCAGTCAGGTGACTGTCAGGTGATTCAGCTGTGTTTCAGGCTGATCCGCGAGAGTCTTAATGCCATGAGTGTGGTGGTGTTTTTCAAGGTGCCTCTTCTTCTGAATGCCATGAATTCGCATGCCCTGAGCCTGTATGCCTTTCCACTTGCCCATCCCCATCCTCATAGCGATCCCCACTTCCCCAGGTGCATACTGTAGCCAGTAGCGTCCATCACTCGCCGCCTATCCTTCAACCACCTCACTGGTCTCTCTCTCTCGGCCACCCTTCCTCTAATCACCCACCAGGTCTGCATGGTGCAGCCAACAGCGTCCATCAGTCTGCTCCAATCCGCCGATCATGCACCCACCTCCCGGTTTTCTCTCTCTCCCTCTCGCCACCTGTTCTCCCAGCCACCCACCTGGTGTGCATGGTGCAGGCAGCAGCGTCCATCCCCTGCCATCTTTGCACTGACATGCCGATCAACAATCACTCACCTCTACACTGAGGTGATTAGTGCCTTGTATCGAACCTGCCTCTACCCAATCAGGTCTGTGCTCTCATTTGTCCCCTGGCGCGCCACCACTGCTATTGGCTCTGCCTCTTGTGCCCACCCTTTTGATGTCATGGTGGAGGCAGCCCCTTTATCTCATTACTCTCAGGTCACTCTCAAGTCACTCTCAGATCACTCCCAGGTCATTCCCAGGTAATTCCCAGGTCGCTCTCAGGTCGCTCTCAGGTCACTCTTAGGTCACTCCCAGGTCATTTCCAGGTGATTCCCAGGTCGCTCTAAGGTCGCTCTCAGGTGATTCAGCTGTGTTTCAGGATTTTCTGGCCGTGAACGGTAGCTGATTCGTCAGAGGCTGGTTGCTTCCCAGCTGAATGCCGTACAGCTGAATGCCGCCCAGCTGAATGCCGCCCAGCTGAATGCCGCCCAGCTGAATGCCGCCCAACTGAAAGCTGAATGCGCCCCATCTGAATGCTTCGCAGTGGTGTGTTCAAGGTGCTGATACTCTGTGCATGGTGCATGCCCTGTGAATTCCCTGTCGTGGAACTAACAGGGGCAGTCTAGAACGTCTCTCCTTCTAACACCCCCCCCCCCCCCCCCTCCCCCTCCTCCCTCCCCCCCTTAAGGAACCCCTTCTCATTGCTCACCACTTCTCTTTCACCCACCTGACTCGCATGTCCCTCTGGCCCCTCGTGTTTTCCCCGTCACCTCCCACTGGCAACACCTCCCACTGGCAACACCTCCCACTGGCAACACCTCCCACTGGCAACACCTCCCACTGGCAACACCCCATCCTCATCCCCATCCCCATCCCCATCCCCATCCCCATCCCCATCCCCATTCCCATCCCCATCCCCATCCCCATCCTCATCCCCATCCCCATCCCCATCCCTATCCCATCCCCATCCCCATTCCCATCCCCATCCCCATCCCTATCCCATCCCCATCCCCATTCCTGTCCCCATCCCATCCCCATCCCCATCCCTATTCCCATCCGCATCCCCATCTCATCCCCATCCCATTCCCAACCCCTTTCCGCTTCCCCCCCCTTCCCCATCCTATTCCCACCTCCCATTCTCTTGCCCTTTCTCCCTCTTCTAGGTACTCTGTGTGTGCTCCATGCCTTCCGTGGAGTTCAAGAGGGACTAAGTGGGACCGACATTCTACCACAACACACCTCCCTTCTCCCC